TGCTGCAGTAGGCATGAATATACATGAATGTGCTGCTAGGCATGAATATGCTGCTTGGGATGAATGTGCTGCTTGGGATGAATGTGCTGCTTGGGATGAATGTGCTGCTTGGGATGAATGTGCTGCTTGGGATGAATGTGCTGCTTGGGATGAATGTGCTGCTTGGGATGAATGTGCTGCTTGGGATGAATGTGCTGCTTGGGATGAATGTGCTGCTTAGGATGACAAACTTCTTTACAGAAATGTATTAGTTCCCCTTTGAAGTTCCAGGAAAGAGTTCCGCTTCTTGAAAGAAGACTTGTTCTGAATGTCACATTGCTGTGACTCTGCAACTCCACCTTCCCTTGCTGCTGATCCCACCCCCATTGGCAGATTTGAAACCGTTGGGTTGGGGTGAGTATTATTGCATGTTGCTATTTGTGTCAGGCCCAGATCCGTGCAATGTGATCCCTCTCTCATGCATTCTCTTATGCTACTTCGAATCCATGCCATGGGTGGGAAGAGCCACCAACGTCTAACACGAAGTCTTAACTGTGTGCTGCTTGGCATGAACCCCCTACACACTATCGTTTGTCGCCAAGAAACCGTTTCTGATAGTGAAATATACAGTGTAAAGGCCCACTTTTCGGTCCTCCTGCTTCCGTGCAAAGTGTATGTGCTGCATTGTGAAAGCATGCTTGTCATGTCACTCTGTTGCTCATGCGCTTCTCCTTGGGCACCGTGGGCTTCCATTCCAAGCATCACCAGCAAGCACTTGGACAGTATGGGATTGCATCTCGGAAATTTACATCAGAACCATCACCCCCCATGCCCCGTTTTCCTTACCTCACCACTCAACCTCTCCCTACCCCCTCCCCATCCCCCTCTCGCGTCCCTTCCCCCCGGTGAACCCTCTGATTTCTTTTAACACTTTGCAGCATGGCTACCAGATCAGGTGGGCATCGGTGACTTTTGAGTCTACAAAGCAAAAGTCACCCCGCTATCAGTCGAGCCATGTGGCTGCTCCTGACGTGAGGTTGAGACTTGAACATGGGGGGCGGGTGGGTGCGTTTTGAGCTGGGACTGATTCTTGTGCCCATTCGTGATTCCCTTCAGGCCTGATTTGTACAACTCCGAACCAGTTTCCGTGACCCAGGTGGGAGCTGTTCAAGTGAGTATCCAATCAGTATTCAGGTCACTAAAAAGGTCCGGATTCAGGTCAGGATTCGGGTCAGGATTCCTTCAAGTCGGCAGTCAAGTCAGATATTCAAGCCAAGTATTCAGGTCTGTATTCTGGTCAGTAATCACTCAGGTAAGCATTCAGTCAGAATGATCCTTTCAGCCACAGTGGAATGGGTTTTGTGATTTTGAGGTTTGTGTTGTGCCATGCCAAGCCAAATTCGTGTCATGCCAGGTGAACTCTATGTCCGAATGAAGACCAGTCAAGAACTTTATTAACCATGTGCTGCCTGGTATGCAATCCCCAAGTAGATGTGCCACGCCACGCTGCGGAAGCATGCAGGTCACCTCTGTATGCTCGATTGCGTGTGTGTCTGTACGCATGTCACTTCCATTCCACGCTTCACCAGTAAGCACTCTAGCCACAATGGCAGCTTGTTGCTTCATTACATCATGCTACAGCATGTTGAAACCATCAGTCCATGCTCCATTACCTATACATCACCACTACCCTCTGCGGCCCCTCCCCTTCCTCCTCCACTTCCCCTCCCCTTCTTTTGCCCCTTGGTTTCCCCTGTCCTCTCCCTACCACTCTCCCTTTCTCAGCGAGAAAAATCAGTAAGCCTTTACAAAGATGGAGGGGTGTGTGGGGATTAGCCTTTTGTTGATATCACAACAATCGTGAACTCTCGTACTGCCTCTGCCAAAAGCGCTATCCTGTTCAGACTAAGTGCTGGTTTGCAAGCAGGTGAGCTCGACGTAAAGGTCACTTTGTAATCAGGCACATTGTTTTGAAACGTCTCAAAACAAATCGCTGAACAGAATCATGTCTAACCATGCCATGGCTTACCTGGTTGGTCCGGTTGCTTGCTGTGAGCAATACTTGATATTTTTTTTTATCTGTGGCTCCATCCGTTCCTCTCCTGTCCCCCGCTTCCTCTCTCCTTCCTGCATTTCCTCTCGCAAGCCCCCATTTATCCTTCCGCTTCCTGCCCAATTGTGCGTCTCCCTTTCTGCCTCGCCGATAGGCATGCCCTTTCTCCTACATCTACGTTCTTTCTCATCTCCCTACTTCTCTCCCCTGTGTTCTCTCTCATGCCCCAACTGCTGACTTGGGCGTTGAATTGAAGCGTTTGTGCTTGGAGGCAGAGGGATGGGGCAGTGAGGAAACTGATTGCGGCACAGGAGCTGCTCGCAGCACTCATAACAGCAGGGTTTGGAGGAGCGAATTGGTTGTGGACCTATCCGATTGGTTTGCGTAGTCCGCAATCAGCCATGCACATGTCAACATGTGTATGGCACTGTCTTGGCAGTTTACGTGTGTACAAATATCACAATATCCCTGTTTTCACCCAACATCTATTTATATGGTAAACTGGTATAGAAACGTTTTTTTTAACATGTTCGATTTCCATTTTGCACCCGAGCAGGTGTACATGTAGCATCTTTTTGTTTACTATCGTAATGTCCTCACAACTGTTTCCGCAAATCACGTTTCGGTGCCTTCCATTCCACCCCACCTCATACAGCTGTCCCGCGTTTCGTGGGCTGAGTCAGCTACCTGGATTTCTGTTTACCCCTTTGACCCTCGGTGGACGACTCGGCGGGACCGGCCAAACCCAGCTAGCCGTTGAACTGGGCACGTCTCATCCGCTCCTGTTCCTTCCATTCTCCTCACGCCGACTCTCCTCTCCTCTCTTATCCACCTTCTCCTATCTCACACATCGATTCGCCTTATGTAATAAGTCATTCCACGAAGTCTGAATCACACGCCACGGCGTTGCTGTTATCCTTGCCGAGTCAACCTGGTGGGAAATGCCAGCTAAGAATCGGTGGTGCTCGCCGTACGCCGTCTTGACTCTGACGGCTAGCAATACAGGTTCCGCACGGAAGGTCCGCTCCGATTTCTCTCTGAATATCTCAAGACAACGCAGCATTAGCGAGTACAGCGCAGCACATGATAGTGCTAAGATTCCGTACAGCAAGGCGTAGGATGAGTCATCCGAGTCTACTAGGCGAGCTAAGGCTGGATAGTAACATCCTATCCACTGTGCTCCGAGCCGCTTATTTTCCGATGGCAGCCAGGCGTAGGAATAGTAGTAATGCGGGTATAAGAGCCAAACCAAGTCAGATACAACCATCGCAAGCTATTCGCTCTACTACTTGTCCCGCTATCTCCGGTTTTCCGCTGCAAAGCTAGGCTCTAGCAGTCCTGAACGATATTTCCGGTTCCCCTAATTCCTCCCTGTCCTCATCGACCCGTGCCGCTCTCAACAATGGCTCCTGCTAAGCTTCTCTTCGCCGTCGTCGTCGCGCTTCAGGCCTCCGCGATCCTCGCGCAGACGTGCTCGTGCGCCGACTGCGAGACGGTGGCCCCTCCATGCTACGCCAGCAGGTGAGCCTCCCGATCTGGGTAAGAAAATTATTCGCCAAACTTGTGCGTGACAGACGGAATTACGCAATCCAAGTGCGTGACTATGTTCCTGGTACGTAATGTGCTAATTCTGTTTTCCTGCAGGTGTGTTAAGCATAGTGGATCAAGATCGACTGCAGCTTACTGACCCCTCAATGCGTCCAGTGTCTCATGCTCCCCTTTCCGCATTCCCCCCCCCTCCCCCTTCCCCTCCCCTCCCCTCCCCTCCCCTCCCCTCCCTTTCCGAAAATAAATACTCGCATTCACCAAGTTTTTGCTGGTTTGGCCGGTAGGCTGCGATTTTGCGTTTACTTTCTGTGCGCGATGCTGCAAGCCCTACTGCTGCGCATGTATGTGGTTCGCGTGTTGGATCAAGGTCGGCTGCAGCTTCCCGACCCATCAACGCGTGCATTCACTCATGTTCCCCCATCAAACTTACCCGTGCCCTCCTCTCCCTCCCGTTCCCTTCACCCCTCCCCGTCCCCCTCGTCTGCTACCTCTGCAGGTGGTACGTGTGGTGGATCAAGGACGACTGCAGCTCGCAGGCGCTGTGGAACAGCGTGCAGGCGTCCAGCGACGTGCGCAGCAGCGTGCTGGCCGTGTGGGGCCCCGGCACGGCCGGCGCCAGCACCTCCTTCCAGGACTACGTGCTCATGGCGGCCAACAACCGCCGCAACCCCTCCTGCGTCAAGACCTACCTGCTGGACTGGATCAAGTGCAAGGCTGCGCCCACCGACTCGGCCGTTCAGTTTTACAACTCGGCGCTGGGCGTGGGGGTGAGCGGGGTGAAGGATGTGCGGTCGCTCAACACGTTTGTGACGGCGGTGATCAAGAAGATCGGCCAGACCGTCTTCAACACGCTCGCTGCCATGCTCAGGCAGCGCGGCCTGCAGGCTCAGGTCGTGATGGCCGGAACATGGTGCTAGATGAAGCGCATTCAATCATGATAAAACCAGGTGTGAAGTGGTTGGTGTTGAAGGTTATGTGAAGTCGATGCTGCTCCTGGGTGTCTAGGGGGTGAGGGGCCCGATGAGGTGGCGGTTGTTAGATTTCTAAGTTGCTGAAGCAGTGGTTGTCGTACCAGCAGGCTTACATGATGTAGGAAGGGAGTAAATGTACAGGGGTCCAGGGAGGAGAATCACCTGATTGTAGCTTGCTGGAAACATGTAAGGACCAACTATTTATTTGCCATCATAAACAACAGGGAGGACAACGGTACTGTTCCCAAACGTTCAGACGCTTATTCGGTCCAATGTGTGCACTACTGCCCTTATTCATTCGCGGATTGTGTTGTTAAGTACCGCAGCACCACCGAGGTGCTCCAGCAAAGCGAAAGCTGCAGCCAGCCACGCCTCTCACCCGTTCCCTTTCAGTAGCAAATTCCTTCACGTCAACCCCACGACAGCTTCACAATTCATCATCGCATCCCCTATTCGGTCGTCTGCGAAACGCACGAGTCCGTGGCCATGTCCCAGTTCTGCTGCACCAGAGATGGTGGGATGGGATGAGGAGCAGAGGTGGTGGGTTGGGTTGAGGAGCAGAGATGGTGGGACGGGATGAGGAGCAGAGATGGTAGGATATGATGGGTTGAGGAGCAGAGATGGCGGGATGGGATGATGAGCAGAGATGGTGGGATGGGTTGAGGAGCAGAGATGGCGGGATGGGATGGGGAGCAGAGATGTTGGGATTGGTTGATGAGCAGAGGTGGCGGGATGGGATGGAGAGCAGAGATGGTAAGATGGGATGAGGAGCAGGGATGGTGGGATGTGATGAGGAGTAGAGATGGTGGGATGGGATGAGGAGTAGAGATGGCTGGTTGGGATGATAAGGAGAGATGGTGGGATGGGATGATGAGCAGAGATGGTGGGATGGGATGTGGAGCAGAGATGGTGGGATGGGATGATGAGGAGAGATGGTGGGATGGGATGATGAGCAGAGATGGTGGGATGGGATGAGGACCAGAGATGGTGGGATGGGATGATGAGCAGAGATGGTGGGATGGGATGATGAGCAGAGATGGTGGGATGGGCTGAGGAGCAGAGATGGTGGGATGGGATGATGAACAGAGATGGTGGGATGGGATGAGGAGCAGAGATGGTGGGATGGGATGATGAGCAGAGATGGTGGGATGGGATGCTGAGCAGAGATGGTGGGATGGGCTGAGGAGAAGAGATGGTGGGATGGGGTGAGGAGCAGAGATGGTGGGATGGGATGATGAGAAGAGATGGTGGGATGGGAAGAGGAGCAGAGATGGTGGGATGGGATGATGTACATGTTTCCACCCCTGTTGTATATGTCCTCCCCACCAGTCTTCTCACTTCTCTCGCTCCTATCCTCAACCCACATTTCCCATTCACCCACGACACCCCCTGGAAACCTGTTTGCTTGAACAGGAATCAAACTTTTATTTGCCATCATAAACAAAAGCAAACTTTCATTCTTGACTACTGTTCCCAAACCTTCAGGCGCTTATTGGGCCTTTCGTCATGCACTACCGCCCTTATTCATTGGCGCGGCTTGTGTTTCAAAGCAAAAGCATGGCCTAGGCGCTCCAGCAAAGAGAAAGCTGCAGCTCTACCTCCCGACAGGTCCCTTCCTCCGAAGTGCGCAGTTCTTCTCGTCTCACTTGCAAAAGCTCCACAATCCGTCATCGCGTCTCCTACTCGGTCGTCTGCGATACGCACGAGTCCGTGGCCACGTCCCAGTTCTGCTGCACCATGAACTTCATACCGTTGAGCCCCACCAGGTTGTACTCCGCATCGTCACCATACACGTTCTGAGCTGTTTGCGTCTCTCCGTACTCGTAGCTGCACTTATCAGCGTTCTCCTCCCCGTTGGCGTCGAACCAGCCGCTGCTGGCATTGGGATCCGTCGCCGCTTCCGCGATCTCGTGAGCGATCGTCGAAACCATCGCGTCCAGCCACGGCTTCCCGTTGGGCGAAGTCTGCTTCGCACCGCAGTTTCCGGGGCACAATCCGTGATGACCCACGAGGGAATACGCGACAGACTTGGAGCCGAGGCGATCCATCGTGTGATATCCGCAGTACTCCGTGCAGAAGCCAGAGACCTTAATGTTGGTGCTCGTGAGAAGCAGGTAGATGCCATTCGGGTCGTACGGGAACGGCTTCCCGGAGCCAATCTTGCTCTTGACAACTGTGGTTTGAAGAGGGCGACGAGATTAGTACGATTCTGGTACGATTCCCGGAAGGAGGTGAGAGGGATGACGGTTAGTCGGTAAACGAACGGGATATAGGTACTAACGAAAGGAAGTCAACTACGGTGGAACGCAAGCGCACCTTTCCATGGAGTGTTGGCGTTGAACTTCTTCCCTTGCGACCCTTTGTCGTAGATGACCTTCGCGAGCTTCACCTGAGAAAGGAAGGGAATAGATTTTGGATGTAATTCCTTGGAATTCTCGTCTGAAACTCTAAATACACTTGTATCCAGCAGTACCATAGCGCGTTCAAGGTTCGCCTTTGATTTGACTTTTCGCCAAAACCGTCATTCGTAACCTGGAACATAAAAACTGCATCCGAGCTACTGATTGCGGATGTCACGCCATGCTGGTCGTCCTGGAAGTGCCTTTTCACTCATGCCCAAGATTCAACATCTCAATGCAAAGGATGAAACGGCGTACCTCGGTGCTGACGGTGGGCGCGGACCCATCAGATGCCTGCGAGTAGTATTTCGAACTGGTCGCCCACCAGCTGCTCACTTTCGGATCCGCGACTTCCCCCTGCGCATCGGCGCCTCCTAGACTCAGCGACCGAATGAAATTCTCAATCACAGTCTGCGCGGATTGCTTTGGCCAGAAGCCGTAGTAGATTAGGTACACATTCAGCGTGTTGTCGCTCAGCACGGGACCGCCCCAGTATTGGATGGGAGTGGCGGACGACCCGTCTGACGCGGCGCCTCCCTGTTCGCGGAGCTCCTCGTCGCGGTGCTCCTTGTCGAAGCTGGCTTTCGTTTCGACCAGGTGCAGCGGAGGCCGAGAGCCGCGATCGACGATGTCGGTCAGTTTTCGCTCACGGTCGCTCAGCTGTCGCTGACGGAGGTACTCGTCGTGCGACTGTCGCGTGCGAGCGACGCGCACCGGGCTGGCAAATGCGGGGGGGAACATCGAAAGACAGACGAGTACCACCAAAAAGGAGAGCAGCAGGGGCTTGAGGATTTCTGCCATTGGACCTAGCAATTAGTAGCGAGACTACGAGGTTTGTCACTGACAGGAGATAGTTGTCGCTGATTTGGTGCTCTGATTGAGATAGAAAGCTATACTATCTTATGCTGTCAGCATATCCACGCAATCTTATATACTGAAGGTAACGATATCGCGCGCTGCTTTGGCCACGACATGCCCATGATGAGAAGCTTCGCGGGTGCCTCGTTATGGCTTTAGAGCGACGTCGTGGCGAGGCGCGCTAGCAAATTCACAAATGTGATGCTGGTGTGGAATTAGGACTGACGACGTTCCTTCTCACCACCAATAATGGTGGAGGTTGTCGCTGCTAAGGACGCGGTGAAGTGCTAGATCGGGGGTAGATCGATTCGGTCACCGCACTGAAACCCGCATTTTGGATACGAAAAGTACACAACCTTTTATAACCGCGCTAAAAAACGATCCTTTGGCGATCGATTCTCCACTTTCACCGCGTCCTAATTTCAACGACGTTCTTGCTGTGCATTGTAGGGAAAGGGTACATTGGAGTAACGCAATAGTATACTACAATTGAAAGCGGTTTTGGTCAACCTTGCTTGTACCGCCTTTTACTTGAAATTCTCGCTCGCGACTCGTTTGCGAAGATTCATGGCGGCTCGTGGAGGCTGAAAATAGTCGCCCCTTGAAACCACATCGACACTACGCATAGTTCTGTAGGCACCAAGTTAATAGATTATAACTCGCGATTAATTAGCCTCTAAACGTTGGCAGCTAACCTGAGATTTACCGACTCTACGCCTAGATTAATTTCTAAGCCTCAAGTGAGCAACCAGATTCTGTGTACATTTTTTGTGCCATTTTTTATGTTCAATTGCTCACACTGTATTCTTGACCTCAATGGGGCAATCATCGCCCATTTGTTCCATTACATTAATAACACTTGTGTATCTATTTGTATGACGTATGACAGCCTTTAAAGGGGACATTTATTCCTCCTCCCTCCAACTCCACACCTTCCTGCTTCCTTCAATGCCACGTGCCCAAGGCTCGCGTCGCGTGTTCCATTTCAAGGGGCAGAGCAGTTTCGCTCGCAGCCAACAAAACTCGCCGCAAGCAGCCCCCCGTTCGCACCCCGCCCCACCCCGCCCCATCCCTCCCTTCCCTTCCCGAGCGCTTTCCCCCAACACCACGCCCACTCAACACGATTCTTGCCCCACCCCACTTCGCGCCGTCTGCGGTTGTTGCGTAGTGTCTCAATTCTTACATTTGCACTAGCCTTCATTCAGACAGAACAGAGTCTTGCTACAAATCACTTACTAGAAACTAATTTTTGCAATCCGTTACGAATCTAGCTCGACAGTCAAGCTTCCCCAATACAAAGGTCGGTTCTGTGCCTCCCCGCGCCCTTACTACGCCCAAAAATATTTATCGTCGTTCGTCTATCGTCGTCATGAACAGTCCCGTCCCGTCACGCCCTCCCGCGCTCCGCGCGCCCGATGTCCCACCGCCAACACTGTCCAACTTACCGTTTCCTCTCTTTCCTCCCTTCCCCCACCCGCATCGCTTTTTCCGCGCACATCCATCTCTCCGCGCACATCGGTCTCTCCGCGCACATCTGTTTTTCCGCGCGCAGCTCCATCCGCCGTGTTATGGGCAACAGTTCTAGCAGCCACCATCGCAAGCACCACCACCACGACGACCAGCGCCGCCCCGACAACCGCTACGCCTCCCACTCCGGCCCGCTCCCCCGCCCCGCTCACTCCGCGCCTGCCGGTCCCGCGTATTCCGGACCCGCTTATTCCGGCCCCGCGTATTCCGGTCCCGCCAGCCCCGGCGCCGCGTGCCAGCACCACAGCGGCGGCGTCAGCAGCAGCAGCGGCGGCGGCGGCGGCGGCGGCGGCGGCGGCGGCGAGTCGTACAGTCGCAGCAGCTCGTTCGGATACTCGCGCGCGCTGCAGGAGAAGTACGGCATCATCCCCGACACCTTCCGCTCCATCGCGCAGGTGCGCGGGCGTCGATTGGACAGACAGACAGACAGACAGGTGATATGCGGTGCAGGTTGTATCTGGAATCCTTCCTTTGGGGCGCGTCAAAAACAGCGTGTTGCGTCAGAAGTACGGCATCATCCCCCGGCACCTTCCGCTCCATCGCGCAGGTGCGCGGGCGTCGATTGGACAGACAGACAGACAGACAGGTGATATGCGGGGCAGGTTGTATCTGGAATCCTTCCTTTGGGGCGCGTCAAAAACAGCGTGTTGCGTCAGAAGTACGGCATCATCCCCCGGCACCTTCCGCTCCATCGCGCAGGTGCGCGGGCGTCGATTGGACAGACAGACAGACAGACAGGTGATATGCGGGGCAGGTTGTATCTGGAATCCTTCCTTTGGGGCGCGTCAAAAACAGCGTGTTGCGTCAGAAGTACGGCATCATCCCCCGGCACCTTCCGCTCCATCGCGCAGGTGCGCGGGCGTCGATTGGACAGACAGACAGACAGACAGGTGATATGCGGGGCAGGTTGTATCTGGAATCCTTCCTTTGGGGCGCGTCAAAAACAGCGTGTTGCGTCAGAAGTACGGCATCATCCCCCGGCACCTTCCGCTCCATCGCGCAGGTGCGCGGGCGTCGATTGGACAGACAGACAGACAGACAGGTGATATGCGGGGCAGGTTGTATCTGGAATCCTTCCTTTGGGGCGCGTCAAAAACAGCGTGTTGCGTCAGAAGTACGGCATCATCCCCCGGCACCTTCCGCTCCATCGCGCAGGTGCGCGGGCGTCGATTGGACAGACAGACAGACAGACAGGTGATATGCGGGGCAGGTTGTATCTGGAATCCTTCCTTTGGGGCGCGTCAAAAACAGCGTGTTGCGTCAGAAGTACGGCATCATCCCCCGGCACCTTCCGCTCCATCGCGCAGGTGCGCGGGCGTCGATTGGACAGACAGACAGACAGACAGGTGATATGCGGGGCAGGTTGTATCTGGAATCCTTCCTTTGGGGCGCGTCAAAAACAGCGTGTTGCGTCAGAAGTACGGCATCATCCCCCGGCACCTTCCGCTCCATCGCGCAGGTGCGCGGGCGTCGATTGGACAGACAGACAGACAGACAGGTGATATGCGGGGCAGGTTGTATCTGGAATCCTTCCTTTGGGGCGCGTCAAAAACAGCGTGTTGCGTCAGAAGTACGGCATCATCCCCCGGCACCTTCCGCTCCATCGCGCAGGTGCGCGGGCGTCGATTGGACAGACAGACAGACAGACAGGTGATATGCGGGGCAGGTTGTATCTGGAATCCTTCCTTTGGGGCGCGTCAAAAACAGCGTGTTGCGTCAGAAGTACGGCATCATCCCCCGGCACCTTCCGCTCCATCGCGCAGGTGCGCGGGCGTCGATTGGACAGACAGACAGACAGACAGGTGATATGCGGGGCAGGTTGTATCTGGAATCCTTCCTTTGGGGCGCGTCAAAAACAGCGTGTTGCGTCAGAAGTACGGCATCATCCCCCGGCACCTTCCGCTCCATCGCGCAAGCGTGGCAGCTTTTCCTCGTCATCCACACGTGACGCGTTGGCATGTCCCTGCCACGTCACCTCCTCGCTCTTCCTCTCTCCCTTCCCCACCATCCTTCTCGCAGTTTCAGTGTGCTCTGTCTGTCACTCCCCGCCGTCTCTAACCCTCTCGCCCTCGACTCGACCCCTTGGTGTGTGCCATGTGACTGTCTCTCCCTTCCATCTGTCCCCTGCTAGTCCATGTGCCCTGCCCCGCGTGCCACCTGCAGGGGCAGGAGAAGCTGCGGGAGGTGGGGTTGGAGTCGCAGTGTGCTCTATCTCTCCCTCCTCCACGCCGCGTTTCTCCCCCTCTCGCCCTCCGCCTGTCTGCGCCTCTCCCCCGTGCGCAGGTGCAGTAGAAGCTGTGGGAAGTGGGATTGGAGTCCAGCTGTGAGTTGCCTCTCAACTGTTGCGTCTGTCCCTCCCTTTCCCTCCCTACCTCCCTTCCATCTGTCCCCCGCTTGTCTATCCGTCCCTCGTGCGGCCGACTGCAGGTGCAGGAGAAGCTGCGGGAGGTGGGGTTGGAGTCGAGCAACCTCATAGTGGCCGTTGACTTCACCAAGAGCAACGAGTGGACCGGTGAGGGCTGCTGAGTGGACTGGTGCATGCTGAGTGACTGATGCATGTTGACTGGGCTGGTATGTGCCTGCTTGCTTCTGGAGTCGAGCAACCTCATAGTGGCCATTGACTTCACCAAGAGCAACGAGTGGACGGGTGAGGGCTGCTGAGTGGACTGGTGCATGCTGAGTGACTGATGCATGTTGACTGGGCTGGTATGTGCCTGCTTGCTTCTGGAGTCGAGCAACCTCATAGTGGCCGTTGACTTCACCAAGAGCAACGAGTGGACGGGTGAGGGCTGCTGAGTGGACTGGTGCATGCTGAGTGACTGATGCATGTTGACTGGGCTGGTATGTGCCTGCTTGCTTCTGGAGTCGAGACACCTCATAGTGGCCGTTGACTTCACCAAGAGCAACGAGTGGACGGGTGAGGGCTGCTGAGTGGACTGGTGCATGCTGAGTGACTGATGCATGTTGACTGGGCTGGTATGTGCCTGCTTGCTTCTGGAGTCGAGCAACCTCATAGTGGCCGTTGACTTCACCAAGAGCAACGAGTGGACGGGTGAGGGCTGCTGAGTGGACTGGTGCATGCTGAGTGACTGATGCATGTTGACTGGGCTGGTATGTGCATGTTGACTGGGCTGGTATGTGCCTGCTTGCTTCTGGAGTCGAGCAGCCTCATAGTGGCCGTTGACTTCACCAAGAGCAACGAGTGGACCGGTGAGGGCTGCTGAGTGGACTGGTGCATGCTGAGTGACTGATGCATGTTGACTGGGCTGGTATGTGCCTGCTTGCTTCTGGAGTCGAGCAGCCTCATAGTGGCTGTTGACTTCACCAAGAGCAACGAGTGGACCGGTGAGGGCTGCTGAGTGGACTGGTGCATGCTGAGTGACTGATGCATGTTGACTGGGCTGGTATGTGCCTGCTTGCTTCTGGAGTCGAGCAGCCTCATAGTGGCTGTTGACTTCACCAAGAGCAACGAGTGGACCGGTGAGGGCTGCTGAGTGGACTGGTGCATGCTGAGTGACTGATGGATGTTGACTGGGCTGGTATGTGCCTGCTTGCTTCTGGAGTCGAGCAGCCTCATAGTGGCCGTTGACTTCACCAAGAGCAACGAGTGGACCGGTGAGTCATGGGTTCTCCTGTAAGTCAACTGCCCACTTTGACCCGTGCGCGCTGACTGGACGGGTGCGTGTTGAGTGGACGGGTGCGTGCTGAGTGGACAGGTGCGCGGTGGACGGGTGCGCGCTGACTGGACGGGTGCGTGTTTGTTTCAGTTGAATCGTCTTTAACTGGCTTTGCACGTCTTGTGTAGTGTTGGTTGCGAGAGGGTTATGAAGTAAGTCACGTAGCGAGTGGTCATAGCAGGCACGCCGCTCTCCACCACCAGGAGGAGTAAGTCACGTAGCGACTAGTCTTTCCTCCCCACTCCATCTCCCTTGCCCACACTCAGCCTCTTTCTCCCTCCCTCATTCCACCTCTCCCCACCTCCCTCCACCCATCTCCCTGCTCCCACCTCCCGCCTCGTCTCGTCCCGCCGCCTCCCCAGGCAAGCAGAGCTTCAATGGGCACTCACTGCACGCAATAGCACCAGGTGCATCAAACCCGTACGAGCAGGCCATTGACATCATTGGCCAGACGCTCTCCGCCTTCGATGAGGACAACCTCATCCCCTGCTACGGCTTCGGCGATGGTACGCTGCCCCCTCTGTTTCTCTGTCCCTCTCCCTGTCTCACTCTCTGTCTCGCTCTCTGTTCACCTCTGCTCCCTCACCTCTCCGCCTTCGATGAGCACAACCTCAGTTCCTGCTACGGCTTCGGCGATGGTACGTCTCTTCTCTCTTCTCTCTCCTTCTCCCTCCCACTCGCTTTTCCTCTCCCGTTCTCTCTCCCTCTACTGACGGCCTTCCATGAGGACAACCTCAGCCCTTGCTGCAGCATCGGTGATGCTATGCTCTGTGACTCTGCCCATTCCCTACACACACCCCCCCTTGTTGAACCTCCTTGAAAGCCTGAACCCCCCACGCAGCCGCCTCTCATGCAGGGGTAGGTACCGTACCCACGTGCCCCCTTCTCTTACACGGCGAGCGAGCAGGGATGCCATTGCCACGGACGGCTGCATGAGAGGGGGCCGCATGGGGTGCCTTTAAAGCCTGAACCCTCCACGCAGCCGCGCCGCCTCTCATGCAGCGGTACGCACGTGCCCCCTTCTCTTACACGGCGAGCAAGCAGGGATGCCATCGTCACGGACGGCTGCATGAGAGCCACTGTTATGCAGAGAGGGGGCCGCATGGGCAGTGCCACTGTCTGTCACCACTCGCGCTGGCTCCTCCCTGCCTCCCCTCGCAACCACTGCACCTGCAACGGGTCGAACTAAACGCGGGGACGCAGGCCGGCGTTCTAGTGCTCTCCTTGCCCTACCTACGCCTGCCCTATTACCGCCCAACACCTGCCCCCTTCCCCGTCCCCAACACTTGCCCCCTTCCGCTTCTTCCCAACACCCCGCAGTCTCAACGCATGACAAGGCAGTGTTTGCGTTCAACGAGGGGCAGCGGCGCCCTCAGTGCTTACCCTGCCCGACCTACATCTCCACATGCTACCTACGCCCCCCACAACTCCTCCCTCCCCCACGGCAGTCTCAACACACGACAAGGGAGTGTTCGCGTTCAACGAGGGGCAGCGCCCTCAGTGCTTACCCTGCGCTACCTACCCCTCCACTCCACACCACATGCTACCCAACCCCCCCCACACCCCGCAGTCTCAACGCATGACAAGGCAGTGTTCGCCTTCAACGAGGGGCAGCGGCCGTGCAACGGCTTTGAGGAGGCGCTGCAGCGATACCGTGCCATCGCCCCCCTCGTGCAGCTCTCAGGTATGCCTTCTTGCTTGCCTGCTTAAGCTGGGTTGGGCTGGGTTGGGTTGGGTTGGGTTGGGTTGGGTTGGGTCAGCTACCGCACGTGCAGTGCTAAAGTATCGGTGCCTGAATTGGAGCTCATGTTTCCCGGCCACATGACTTCCCATGATTAGGAAGGAGGATTGTGACAGGCTGTGCTGTGCTGTGTTGTGCCGTGCCGTGCCATGCCGTGCCGTGCCGTGCCGTGCCGTGCCGTGCCCGGCCAACATAGGTGCTGCGTTCTCCGTGCCACCTCTGACTGCCTCAGCCCTCAGGATTCCTCTCCCGCCCCACTTTCCCTCTCAACCCTTTCTCTCCCCCTCTCCCCATCCTCTCCCCATCCTCTCCCCATCCTCTCCCCATCCTCTCCCCATCCTCTCCCCCATCCTTACCCCATGTGCGTCCGCGCAGGCCCCACGTCGTTCGCCCCGGCGATAGAGGCGGCGGTGAGGGCGGTGGAGGAGAGTGGCGGCCAGTACCCCGGCCAACCCTGTATCTCACTGGATCGCCTGCCACACTCCCCCCACCCTCCCCCCACCCTCCCCCCACCCTCCCCCCACCCTCCCCCCACACTCCCCCCACACTCCCCCCACACTCCCCCCACCCTCCGCCCACCCTCCCCCCACACTCCCCCCACACTCCCCCACACCTGGCCCCACTCCCCCCATCACCCTCCGCTTACCTCCTCTACTGCACCCCATCCCCTGTCCTCTCCCCTTTCCATTCCTCTGTTTGCTTCCGCGCAGGCCCCACTTCGTTTGCGCCGGCAATAGAGGCGGCGGTGAGGGCGGTGGAGGAGAGTGGCGGCCAGTACCACGTGCTGCTCATCATTGCTGATGGCCAGGTGCAGTGCGGTGCTTCAGGGTGCATTGCGGTGCTGTGGGATGCTGCGCGGTAATGTGTATGTATGGCAGGTGCGTATGGCAGAGTGTGATGTGAGTGCCGATGTGTGGTCTTTGGTCCCTTTTTGTTCTGGTTGCCAATGGGTGGTGATGGGTGGTGATGGGTGGTGATGGGTGGCGCTGGGTGGCGCTGGGTGGTACTGGGAGGTGATGGGTGGTGGTGAGTGGTGACGTATGGTGATGTGTAGCTATGGCAGGTGATTTATCATTCCCCAATGGTGATGGACAGGCTATGCTCACCTTAATTCGCCCTAGACCTTGGATTGGCGTTGGTTAAGGGGACAGAAATTCCTCCTGGGTTCACCCAAAAAGGGTGACTCTTGAGTGGACTCGAGTGTCCCAACAGCAGTGCTGCATGTGGCTGGGTTGCTTTCTATTCACGAGGTGACCTTTGAGTCGACTCGAAAGTCACTTCACCCAATAGAGGTGACTCTTGAGTGGACTCGAGTGTCCCAACAGCAGAGTTGCATGTGATTGGGCTGATTTCTCTTTCTTCACCCGCTTCTCTCACTTGCCTCCCCCACCACAGGTCACTCGCAGCGTTGACACGCCACCAGGAGTGTTCAGCAGGCAGGAGCAGGCCACTGTTGACGCCATCGTTGCTGCCAGGTGGGTCTCTGTTGCGGCCAGGTGGGTCTCTGTTGCTGCCAGGTGGGTCTCTGTTGCTGTCAGGTGGGTCTCTGTTGCTGCCAGGTAGGTCTCTGTTGCTGCCAGGTGGTTCTCAGTTGCTGTCAGGTGGAGTTCTTCTGCTGCCATGTGCGTGTTGTCTTGGTTGCTGCCAGCCTATGCAGCTGTCCAATCTTTGCAGCAGAACAGTGAGACAACACTTTAACTGTTGCCTCTGCAGCAGGGCATCTGTGTCCTACTGCTTACCTTCCGTGCGCCATACCGCGTGCATCTCTGCCCCGTCACTTGTACATCCCCCTTGCATGCACGCGGTCCCCCCTGGAAGCACTACCTCGGGTCGGGCAGGCAGCAGCAATGCACGTGGGCAGTATTGATGTGGAGCCCTCATGTGGAGTGGAGCGCTTATTTGGTTTCAAGGAATCTGCCGGCTTATCTGACTGCCGTGCCCTCCTCCTCCAATCAGTGCTCGCCGCCACGGGCTGTGCGGCATGCTCATGCTTCGGCCCTTCTACATCCTTCCGTCCCTCCTCCCCCCCCCTCTCGCAGCAACTACGGGCTGTCAATAGTGATGGTGGGGGTGGGCGACGGCCCGTGGGACGTACTAATGTTGCTCCCTCCCCCTTGCCCCCTCCTTCCGTCCCTCCTACCCTCCTCCCACAGCAACTACGCGCTGTCAATAGTGATGGTGGGGGTGGGGGACGGCCCGTGGGACACGATGGAGGAGTTTGACGATGCTCTGCCGCAGCGCAACTTCGATAACTTCCAGGTGGGTGGGATGGGCATGGCATGGTGTCAGTGTGCTGCCTGTGTGCTGTCTGTGTGATGTTTTGGGTAATGTGCGTTGGTGCGACCACCGTGGGACACGATGGAGGAGTTTGACGATGCTCTGCCGCAGCGCAACTTCGATAACTTCCAGGTGGGGATGGGTGGGCATGGCATGGTGTGAGCGTGCTGTCAGTGTGCTGCCATTCCACCCTCCCCCACCTGTTCCCTCCTACTATTCCAACAGAGCGTCCTACTATTCCAACAGAGCGTCCTACTATTCCAACTGAGCGTCCTACTATTCCAACAGAGCGTCCTACTATTCCAACTGTGCGTCCTACTATTCCAACTGAGCGTCCTACTATTCCAACAGAGCGTCCTACTTTTCCAACAGAGCGTCCTACTATTCCAACTGAGCGTCCTACTATTCCAACAGAGCGTCCTACTATTCCAACTGAGCGTCCTACTATTCCAACAGAGCGTCCTACTATTCCAACTGAGCGTCCTACTATTCCAACAGAGCGTCCTACTATTCCAACTGTGCGTCCTACTATTCCAACTGAGCGTCCTACTATTCCAACTGAGCGTCCTACTATTCCAACTGAGCGTCCTACTATTCCAACAGAGCGTCCTACTATTCCAACTGTGCGTCCTACTATTCCAACTGAGCGTCCTACTATTCCAACTGAGCGTCCTACTATTCCAACTGAGCGTCCTACTATTCCAACTGAGCGTCCTACTATTCCAACTGAGCGTCCTACTATTCCAACTGAGCGTCCTACTATTCCAACTGAGCGTCCTACTATTCCAACTGAGCGTCCTACTATTCCAACAGAGCGTCCTACTATTCCAACTGAGCGTCCTACTATTCCAACTGAGCGTCCTACTATTCCAACTGAGCGTCCTACTATTCCAACTGAGCGTCCTACTATTCCAACTGAGCGTCCTACTATTCCAACAGAGCGTCCTACTATTCCAACTGAGCGTCCTACTATTCCAACAGAGCGTCCTACTATTCCAACTGAGCGTCCTACTATTCCAACTGAGCGTCCTACTATTCCAACTGAGCGTCCTACTATTCCAACAGAGCGTCCTACTATTCCAACTGAGCGTCCTACTATTCCAACTGAGCGTCCTACTATTCCAACTGAGCGTCCTACTATTCCAACTGAGCGTCCTACTATTCCAACTGAGCGTCCTACTATTCCAACTGAGCGTCCTACTATTCCAACTGAGCGTCCTACTATTCCAACAGAGCGTCCTACTATTCCAACTGAGCGTCCTACTATTCCAACTGAGCGTCCTACTATTCCAACTGAGCGTCCTACTATTCCAACTGAGCGTCCTACTATTCCAACTGAGCGTCCTACTATTCCAACTGAGCGTCCTACTATTCCAACTGAGCGTCCTACTATTCCAACTGAGCGTCCTACTATTCCAACTAGAGCGTCCTACTATTCCAACAGAGCGTCCTACTATTCCAACTGAGCGTCCTACTATTCCAACTGAGCGTCCTACTATTCCAACTGAGCGTCCTACTATTCCAACTGAGCGTCCTACTATTCCAACAGAGCGTCCTACTATTCCAACAGAGCGTCCTACTATTCCAACTGAGCGTCCTACTATTCCAACAGAGCGTCCTACTATTCCAACTGAGCGTCCTACTATTCCAACAGAGCGTCCTACTATTCCAACTGTGCGTCCTACTATTCCAACTGAGCGTCCTACTATTCCAACAGAGCGTCCTACTTTTCCAACAGAGCGTCCTACTATTCCAACTGAGCGTCCTACTATTCCAACAGAGCGTCCTACTATTCCAACTGAGCGTCCTACTATTCCAACAGAGCGTCCTACTATTCCAACTGAGCGTCCTACTATTCCAACAGAGCGTCCTACTATTCCAACTGTGCGTCCTACTATTCCAACTGAGCGTCCTACTATTCCAACTGAGCGTCCTACTATTCCAACTGAGCGTCCTACTATTCCAACAGAGCGTCCTACTATTCCAACTGTGCGTCCTACTATTCCAACTGAGCGTCCTACTATTCCAACTGAGCGTCCTACTATTCCAACTGAGCGTCCTACTATTCCAACTGAGCGTCCTACTATTCCAACTGAGCGTCCTACTATTCCAACTGAGCGTCCTACTATTCCAACTGAGCGTCCTACTATTCCAACTGAGCGTCCTACTATTCCAACAGAGCGTCCTACTATTCCAACTGAGCGTCCTACTATTCCAACTGAGCGTCCTACTATTCCAACTGAGCGTCCTACTATTCCAACTGAGCGTCCTACTATTCCAACTGAGCGTCCTACTATTCCAACAGAGCGTCCTACTATTCCAACTGAGCGTCCTACTATTCCAACAGAGCGTCCTACTATTCCAACTGAGCGTCCTACTATTCCAACTGAGCGTCCTACTATTCCAACTGAGCGTCCTACTATTCCAACAGAGCGTCCTACTATTCCAACTGAGCGTCCTACTATTCCAACTGAGCGTCCTACTATTCCAACTGAGCGTCCTACTATTCCAACTGAGCGTCCTACTATTCCAACTGAGCGTCCTACTATTCCAACTGAGCGTCCTACTATTCCAACTGAGCGTCCTACTATTCCAACAGAGCGTCCTACTATTCCAACTGAGCGTCCTACTATTCCAACTGAGCGTCCTACTATTCCAACTGAGCGTCCTACTATTCCAACTGAGCGTCCTACTATTCCAACTGAGCGTCCTACTATTCCAACTGAGCGTCCTACTATTCCAACTGAGCGTCCTACTATTCCAACTGAGCGTCCTACTATTCCAACAGAGCGTCCTACTATTCCAACTGAGCGTCCTACTATTCCAACTGAGCGTCCTACTATTCCAACTGAGCGTCCTACTATTCCAACTGAGCGTCCTACTATTCCAACAGAGCGTCCTACTATTCCAACAGAGCGTCCTACTATTCCAACTGAGCGTCCTACTATTCCAACAGAGCGTCCTACTTTTCCAACAGAGCGTCCTACTATTCCAACTGAGCGTCCTACTATTCCAACAGAGCGTCCTACTATTCCAACTGAGCGTCCTACTATTCCAACAGAGCGTCCTACTATTCCAACTGAGCGTCCTACTATTCCAACAGAGCGTCCTACTATTCCAACTGTGCGTCCTACTATTCCAACTGAGCGTCCTACTATTCCAACTGAGCGTCCTACTATTCCAACTGAGCGTCCTACTATTCCAACAGAGCGTCCTACTATTCCAACTGTGCGTCCTACTATTCCAACTGAGCGTCCTACTATTCCAACTGAGCGTCCTACTATTCCAACTGAGCGTCCTACTATTCCAACTGAGCGTCCTACTATTCCAACTGAGCGTCCTACTATTCCAACTGAGCGTCCTACTATTCCAACTGAGCGTCCTACTATTCCAACTGAGCGTCCTACTATTCCAACTGAGCGTCCTACTATTCCAACTGAGCGTCCTACTATTCCAACTGAGCGTCCTACTATTCCAACTGAGCGTCCTACTATTCCAACTGAGCGTCCTACTATTCCAACTGAGCGTCCTACTATTCCAACTGAGCGTCCTACTATTCCAACAGAGCGTCCTACTATTCCAACAGAGCGTCCTACTATTCCAACTGAGCGTCCTACTATTCCAACAGAGCGTCCTACTATTCCAACTGTGCGTCCTACTATTCCAACTGAGCGTCCTACTATTCCAACAGAGCGTCCTACTTTTCCAACAGAGCGTCCTACTATTCCAACTGAGCGTCCTACTATTCCAACAGAGCGTCCTACTATTCCAACTGAGCGTCCTACTATTCCAACAGAGCGTCCTACTATTCCAACTGAGCGTCCTACTATTCCAACAGAGCGTCCTACTATTCCAACTGTGCGTCCTACTATTCCAACTGAGCGTCCTACTATTCCAACTGAGCGTCCTACTATTCCAACTGAGCGTCCTACTATTCCAACAGAGCGTCCTACTATTCCAACTGTGCGTCCTACTATTCCAACTGAGCGTCCTACTATTCCAACTGAGCGTCCTACTATTCCAACTGAGCGTCCTACTATTCCAACTGAGCGTCCTACTATTCCAACTGAGCGTCCTACTATTCCAACTGAGCGTCCTACTATTCCAACTGAGCGTCCTACTATTCCAACAGAGCGTCCTACTATTCCAACTGAGCGTCCTACTATTCCAACTGAGCGTCCTACTATTCCAACTGAGCGTCCTACTATTCCAACTGAGCGTCCTACTATTCCAACTGAGCGTCCTACTATTCCAACTGAGCGTCCTACTATTCCAACTGAGCGTCCTACTATTCCAACAGAGCGTCCTACTATTCCAACTGAGCGTCCTACTATTCCAACTGAGCGTCCTACTATTCCAACTGAGCGTCCTACTATTCCAACTGAGCGTCCTACTATTCCAACTGAGCGTCCTACTATTCCAACTGAGCGTCCTACTATTCCAACTGAGCGTCCTACTATTCCAACTGAGCGTCCTACTATTCCAACAGAGCGTCCTACTATTCCAACTGAGCGTCCTACTATTCCAACTGAGCGTCCTACTATTCCAACTGAGCGTCCTACTATTCCAACTGAGCGTCCTACTATTCCAACTGAGCGTCCTACTATTCCAACTGAGCGTCCTACTATTCCAACTGAGCGTCCTACTATTCCAACTGAGCGTCCTACTATTCCAACTGAGCGTCCTACTATTCCAACTGAGCGTCCTACTATTCCAACTGAGCGTCCTACTATTCCAACAGAGCGTCCTACTATTCCAACTGAGCGTCCTACTATTCCAACTGAGCGTCCTACTATTCCAACTGAGCGTCCTACTATTCCAACTGAGCGTCCTACTATTCCAACTGAGCGTCCTACTATTCCAACTGAGCGTCCTACTATTCCAACTGAGCGTCCTACTATTCCAACTGAGCGTCCTACTATTCCAACAGAGCGTCCTACTATTCCAACTGAGCGTCCTACTATTCCAACATGAGCGTCCTA